AATTAAAAAAAAAAAAAACCTTTCCCCAATGTTTAATTATGAAATTTGCAAACATACGGAAGAATTGAAAGAGTGATACAGTGAACACCCAAATGCCATCCACCTATTTCTGGCACTTGTTAACATTTTTTTGCCAAATTTGTTTTATCTGTATGTTATTATGGTGTATGGCTGGGTGTATTTTTTTTCCTGAGCCGTTTGAAGGTAAATTGCAGATATCATGACACTTTACTCCCCTAAACTTCACCCTATTCTTCTAAAAAGTCACTTGAAAATAAATGCGTGTATCATTCTCATCTACTCTTGCATCTCCCAGGAATAAGACATTCTCATATAAAACCAAAGTGAATGTTTTTTTTTTTTTTTTTTTTTTTTTTGAGACGGAGTCTTGCTCTGTTGCCCAGGCTGGAGTACAGTGGTGTGATCTCGGCTCACTGCAAGCTCTGCCTCCTGGGTTCACGCCATTCTCCCGCCTCAGCCTCCCAAGTAGCTGGGACTACAGGCACCCGCCACCACGCCTGGCTAACTTTTTGGATTTTTAGTAGAGACGGAGTTTCACCGTATTAGCCAGGATGGTCTCGATCTCCTGACCTCGTGATCTGCCCGTCTCAGCCTCCCCAAGTGCTGGGATTACAGGCGTGAGCCACCACGCCCAGCCTTTTTTTTATTTTTGAGACAGAGCCTTGCTCTGTTGCCCAGGCTGGAATGTAGTGGCACGATCCTGGCTCGCTGCAACCTCCGCCTGCAGGGTTTAAGTGATTCTCCTGCCTCAGCCTCCCAAGTAGTTGGGATTACAGATGCGTGTCACCACGCCTGGCTAATTTTTGTATTTTTAGTAGAGATGGGGTTTCACCATGTTGGCCAGGCTGATTTCGAACTCCTGAGCTCAGGTGATCCACCCACCTCGGCCTCCCAAAGTGCTGGGATTACAGATGTGAGCCACTGTGCCTGTCTGTGAAACCGTAGTACTGCTATTAAACCTAAGAACATTAACAATAATTTCAAACATCATCTAATATTCAGTTTGTATGCAAATTTCTCCACATATCCCAAGAATATAGCTTTTTCAAACCAAGGTTTAGTCAAAAATTCATGCATGGCATTTGTTGGTTTTCTTTAAATCTAGAGGAGTCTCCATCCTGCCTCTTTTTTTTTTTTTCTTTAAATGAATTTAGTGACATTGACTTTTTCAGGAGTCTGGAACAGTTGTCGTATGGATGTCCCACATTCTGGCGTCTGATTGCTTCCTCATGGTATCGTTTGACGTTTCTCCATCCCCCTCTTTCACATGAAGCCTGTGGCGTCAGGTTGCCTTGCTCTCGGTGACAGTAAATTAGATCACTTGGTTATCATGGTGATAGCCAGAGGTCTCAAATAGAACAGAGGAGGGTTATGTTCTCCAAAGTTTAGTTTAAAGAAAAAAGGCCCTCCCTTTTTTTAAATAGCCAAAAGTCCCTATAGGCTATTTAAATTAAAATTAAATTAATTTATTTTTTGAGACAAGGTCTCACTCTGTCACCCAGGCTGGAGTGCAGTGGCGCAGTCTTGGCTCCCTGCAATGTCTGCCCCAGCTCAGGCTCAAGCAATCCTCCCACCTCAGCCTCCCAGGTAGTGGGGACCACAGGTATACCCCGCCGGGCCTGGCTAATTTTTTGTATTTTTAATAGAGACAGGGTCTCACCGTGTTGCCCAGGATGGTCTCGAACTCCTGAGCTTAAGCAACCCATCCATCTCAGCCCATCTCAGCCTCCCAAAAGGCGTGGATTACAGGCATGATCCACCATGCCCAATCCTATTTTATGTTTTTGAGACAGAGTCTCATTCTGGTTGCTTAGGTTGGAGTACAGTGGCGTGATGTTGGTTCACTGCAGCCTCGACCTCCTGTGCTCAGGTGATTCTCCCACCTCAGCCTCCTCTGTATCTGGGACTACAGTAGCCTACCACCACATCCAGCTAATTTTTGGTATTTTTATTGGAGATGGGGTTTTGTCATCTTGCCCAGGCTGGTCTTGAACTTCTGAACTCAAGCAATCCACCCTCCTTGACCTCCCAAAGTGCTGGGATTAACAGGCATGAGCCATTGAGCTTGGCTGGCTCCTTTTAATTAACTTTTTTTGTAGTGACAAAGTCTCACTGTGTTACTCATGCTCATCTTGAACTCCTGGCCTCAAGTGACCGTCCTACCTCAGCCTCCCAAAGTGCTGGGATTATAGGCATGAGCCGCCGTACCCAGCCCATTGACACATTTTGAAGGCAAAGTGTGTCTCAATGTGTTGTATGGTGGCTTCTGAGCCTTCAAATATATAATGATTCCACTGGAGACAATGAGGAGATAAACTAGATAGAAGAGCTAACTTGGATCCTTGGGACGAGACCATGGAGAGGAAAATGCAGGCTATCTCTCTGGCTTCTGTCCCAGGCCCATGGCACTGTGACTGTCACAGGGGTAGAAATGAGCAGTGAGAGGCCTTGGGTTCCTCCATTCTCCTGTTGAACATTATCAGTCCTCCAGGAAGGAGGAAAAAAAGTGTCCACACTCCATTTATGAAATGACGACCTTTGAGGTATCAGGACAGGAATCAAGGAGCCCTTCTGGAATGCTCATCCCTCAGCACACTTCCAACAGTGGTCTGTGTACTGGAGCCAGAAGGCTGGGCGCCTTTAGGAGATGACCTGAAAACAAGATAAAAAGACAGTTTGTCTGCGTGTTGGGTCTGTGGCTTACCTTGGAAGATTCTGTGGTCACAGCCCAAAAATGTCTCAGGAGGACCAGAAGGATCAAGAGAAGAATGACTAAAATGAATGAAGGCTAGGGTGGAGTGGCTCACTCCTGTAATCCCAGCACTTTGGGAGGCCGAGGTGGGAGGATTGCTTGAGGCCAGGAGTTTGAGACCAGCCTGGGCAACATAGTGAACCACGTCTCTATAAAAAAAAAAATTAAAAAATAAAATAAAAAGCAAATACAGTGAATGAGAAGTTAGACCAAGAGGAATTAGGACTCTTCAGCCTAAAAACAGGAAAGTCAACAGGAAGATGATAAAAATGACAGCTTATTAGTAGCTCAGTAGGTGCCATTTACTTCTTTGCAAGAGTCCTCTGAAAAAGGTGCCATGATTTCCCCTGTTTTGCAAGTAGGGAGACCGATGCTCAGTTTAGGTCATTTGCTTCATGCTGCACAGCTCTCAGGGACTGTGAATTAAACTCAGAGTGCTTGACCACACCCCCTCTTAACCCATGTGCTTAATATCCCTACTGCCAGAGACTTAGGCACTGGATCTTGGCATAATGGAGTAGGGAAACCCTCCTTGACTTAAAAAAAAAAGCCCACAATAATCAACATTTATGATCGCACAGTTTCAGGGGGCTAGATTTGGCAGCAGCTTAGCTGGGCAGCCTGGCCTGGGATCTCTCCCGAGGCTGCATTCAGGATGTGGACTAAACTGTAGGGTTAGGCTCTGCTGGGGCTGCAGCAGGTGCTTCCCAAGTGGCCACTCCCAGGGATGACAAGTGGTGGCTGGGGGTTGAAAGGCCTCAGTTCCTTTCCATACTCCTTGGCTTTTGAAGGAACTCATTTCCTTTGGAAACTACAAGTGTTATTTTATAGAAACATTTAGTACTCACCAAGGCCCTCAGTGGAACTGGCTGAAAATAGCAGCAGACTCACTCAAAAAAGAGTTGGAGAGATCCATGGCAGGGAAGAGAAATTAAGGGAAGGTAGAGCGCTTAGGAGAGCTTGAAAACCAAAGGGTAACTGGTTTCTATCTTATTATAATAGATCCTTGAATTGATCTAGAATTTTCTGCTAAGTTCTCAAAGGGTTGTATCTGTAGAGGGATTTAGAGCCGTCTTTTTTGCAGGGGTGGAGGAAAGGGGGGTTATCTGTAGAAAATGCTCCAATTTACCTTAGTGTGCTTATGGAGACATTTATACATACTCTACCTTGTTTTAGAAAACAGGTAAGATAGCTTATTATCGTGCAGTAGCAACTAAGAAATAAAACAAGGTGTTGGACCGGGTGGGGCAGGTGGGGAGGGAGGTTCAGATACGTGGCACTTGCCTGGTCTGGTTTTGTAAGGCGTGGTGTGGACAGACCCTGTGGAAATCCTCATAAAGGCTGATTCCCTTTTGGTAATTATTTAACAGCCCTGAACTAAAGGCCGTAGCTCCTGGCTGGACTGAACTGAAGGGAACTGAAGTATTCAGTGTGGACTAAACACTTAACTAGACAGAAGCTATTCAGCACAGCCAAGTTCAGTAGCAGGGTGGAGGGTGTGTGTACAGCAGTTTCTAGCCTGCCTAGGGCTCGGTGCTTCTGCCTCCAGTCAGTTTGTTCTGTTTTTTTTTTGCTACAGTCACCCACAGGACTGAATCTACCTGGTATCCTTGGGGGCAGGGTGCTCTGGGCCACTTCTCACCTCTCTCTCCTTGAGTCAGTGATGGGGCCGATTAGCCTGCATTGAAGTTTCATTGTTGTAGCTTTTTTCTCTTATTTCAAGGCAATACATTTTCAGGATTGAAAATTAAAAAAAAACAACAATATGTTTAACACAAATAAGAAAAGAGTAAGCCCCTGCAATCCCTCTGTAGATGGAGATGTCTCCTGTTGACAGTTCCTTAGGGTCTCTTTGGTTTCTATGGGCAGGGGAATATTACTTGCAACTATTTCTTCATTTGTACACCATCAGTATCCCTGTGGTTTTCTCACAGTCCTGCAAGTGTAAACAAACTAATACATCAGTAATGTGGAAATTATGTTGCTGATCTGGTGATATGAAATGTTTAGAAAGAGTACACCTTCCCCTCCAACCTGATACAACAGTGATTTCATTAGACATATTCCTTCCCACTCGTTGTTCCATGCCACAAGGCAAAATTTGAAGATGCAGGGAAAGCATTCTCAGGGAAACCAGCGAAGGTGAAATGGGAGCTTCTCATTTAGAGAATCTTAACTTGGGGTGCATTTGCTTTAGCCCATCCATGTTGCCTTTTGTACCCCACAGTGGAGAACACGCAGCTGACCCTGAACCTGCAGACGGAGAACAAAGGCAGTGTTGTCTCAGGCGGAGAGCTGACAATTTTCCTGGACGGGCCGACTGTTGATCTGGGAAGTGTGCCTAATGGCAGTGCTGTGACAGACGGTGAGTGCCGCCCTGCTCCTCAGGGCTGTGCCGGGACGGGGTGGGGCTGGGCAGGGGCCAGGAGGTGCTGAGAGCTTGGTTCTCTACTAGGTGTCTTGGTTTGATTACCACTCAGCCTGGCCCATAGCTAGCCCCGACTCTTCTTAGCACCGTGGATCAATATCACGACATGAATTTTCAAGGGCCACTTTCTGATCAAGGGCCACAGTAAATGTCCAGTCTCTGTAAATTGTGTAATTGTTTGGTGTGATAGCAGAGAAAAACATCTTTCATCCCATGTGCACTTTGGAAAATGAAATATCTTAAATGTGACTTTGGCCCATTTTCCTTCCCAATACAGTTACACTTTTTGGGGAGATTGAGGGTGTTTTTATGAGAGGCATTGGTTGGGAAGGGGACCCTGTGTTTTTCTAGAGATACACACTAGCAAAATACAGACAGAGCTGGGAATTTGGAGAGTGTCCCCTTCTCTGTCCCGAATATTGGTAGTTTGTTTCTTTTGATCTAGTCTGAAATTAGTCACCTTTGGATCTAGCAGGAAATTATTTCATGAAGTCTGAGGTCTGAAATGGGTTGGGTTTCTCCATTAATTTTTCTCATTAAATGTTTTCTTAGATGTGATGTAATCATGGCACTTTCCAGGCACCAAGCAGGATTTCTGTAGCTTCAAAGGGGTGAAATTTGAATTCCAATTCAAGGGCAGTTGGTTGGAATCTCAGTGGCTGGATGGGCCTTGACTGTGGAGAAAAATCCCTTGACTGCACTGATCAGTGCTTGGGGTGCTTTGGTGCTTGGAGAAAAACATGCGTCATTCACTCGTTCAACACATATATACATAATTGTATCCCTGGTATGCACTAGGTCTTAGACCAGGTGCCAGCCGGATGGCAATGGGCCAAATTCACATGGTCTCCACTGCTTGAGGTTTACAGTCTACTTGATGAGGGCAGGGGAAGTTAGACATCAAATGAGTAAACACACAGGGAATTACATAGCTGTGATTGTGACAAAAGCTATCAGTGAAAACCGCAGGGTGGCATGAGATTCTTGTACTTTGTTGGGGGAGATCTCATATAAATTGAGGGATCAGGGAAGGTTTCTCTGAGGAAGCTGAGACCTGGAGGACAAGGAGTTTAGACAGGCCATGGTGGGGATGTGGGGTAAAGGGGTGGCTTGGCCTGTGATGGGAACAGAGGCAGTCAGTGTGGTTGGATTATTAGGAGCAAGAAGGAGAGAGAATGGAGGAGGTGAGGTCGGAGAAACAGGTCAACTCAGATCGTGCAGCCTTGAAGCCCTTGGTAGGGATTTTGAACCTCATCTTGAGAAACAGAAAGTTGTTGAAGGGTTTCTAGCAGAAGACTATGATGATCTGATTTGGCTTTGTAAAAGCTCTCTGGGTGTGTTATGGAGAAATGCCCCCGATTCCTGGCCCCTACTTTGCACGGTTAGCGTTTGTTCTCTATCTCATGTTTTTGAGGCTGAGATTCATTTAATGGATAAGGCAATTTGCTTGTAAGTGCCTTGGATGCTCTTGAATGTCTTGGAGAAGAGAAGCTGTTTCCAAGGTTTGAGCCCCACTGCTCCATGGCATGGATTGGATCCTGTGTGATTGTCCCTGTTCCTCTCCTGGTGGCTGCAGCTTGCTGGATGTCCATATCCTGTGGTGGTGGCAACTCTAACACACAGAGGGAGTTCTGTTCCTGGCTGTCAAATCTCGAACATGAGTTGAGCTCCTCAATGCTTCTGTCTTTTCTTGTGATTGATTCCTTTCTAGGATCACAGCCGCCTTTGAGAGACTCCAGTGGAACAGCGGTAGCTCCAGAGAACCGGCACCAGCCCCCCAGCACAAACTGCTTTGGTGGAAGATCCCGGTAAGACCCCCCTTGGCTATGAGAAAGAGCTGAGAAGATGCTTAGAGCTACTGAAAACATGTTGGGACATGGCGGGGAACATTTTATGGTAGAAACTGTTGGACATTTCCAGAGATCTTGTAACTGACTCAGTGGTGAAGGAGGCTAATAGAGGAGTCCAGAACTCAGGATCCTTTTTTTTTTTTTTAAATTGAATTTAGATTTTTAATTTTTGTTTTTATTTTAGATTCAGGGGGTACATGAACAGGTTTGTTACATGAGTATTTTACATGATGTTGAGGTTTGGGCTTCTAATGATCCCATTGCCCAGATAGTGAACATAGTACCTGATTGGTAGTTTTTCAATCCTTGCTCCTCTCTCCTTGTTTTTGGAGTCTCCAGTGTTTATTATTTATATCTTTGTGTTCATGTTTACCCAATGTTTAGCTCCCACTTATAAATGAGAACATGTGGTATTTGGTTTTCTGTTTCTGCATTAATTTGCTCAGGATAATAGCCTTCAGCCTCCGGCTATATTCATGTGGCTGCAAAGGACATGATGTGATTTCATTCTTTTGTTTTGTTTTTTGATATGGGGTCTTGCTCTGTTGCCCAGGCTGGAGTGCTGTGGCACCATCATGGCTCACGGCAGGCTTGACCTCCTGGGCTCAAGAAGCAGACCCACCTTAGCATCCTAAGTAGCTGAGACCACAGGCATGTGCCACCATGCCTAGCTAATTCTTTAATTTTTCTAGAGATGGGATTTTACCATGTTGCCCAGGCTGGTCTCAAACTCCTGGACTCAACTGATTCTCCTGTCTTGGCCTCCCAAAGTGCTAAGATTATAGGCATAAGCCACTGTGCTATAATCTAGCATAAGCTAAGATTATAGGCTTACTTTTTATTCTTTTTTTATGGCTGTGAAAGAATTCAGGATTCTTAGAAGGGTCAGAGGCTCCTTGACGAAGATTGGGACTAGCTAAGTATGTTATTGGATCAAAGGAACCGTCAAACAGGAAACTCGACTGCTCTTTTGTATGTTAGGTGCTGCTGCCACAGTTATTCTTCCAGGACACACATAGAAATGCTTAGAGCAATGGTTCTTTGTGAGATTTTCTGTCGTGCATTCTGCTTTAGGGGGTGGCCCAAGGTTCCGTTGGAGTGTTGGTTAAGACTTCCTACAGGCCGGGCGCGGTGGCTCACGCCTGTAATCCCAGCACTTTGGGAGGCCAAGGCAGACGGATCACGAGGTCAGGAGATTGAGACCATCCTGGCTAACATGGTGAAACCCCATCTCTACTAAAAATACAAAAAATTAGCCGGGCATGGTGGTGGGCGCCTGTAGTCCCAGCTACTCGGGAGGCTGAGGCAGGAGAATGGCATGAACCCGGGAGGCGGAGCTTGCAGTGAGCAGAGATCGTGCCACTGCACTCCAGCCTGGGCGACAGAGCGAGACTCCATCTCAAAAAAAAAAAAAAAAAGACCTCCTACACTTAGAGTCCAAATATTATACTTGTTATACATTTTACAAATGATATAATTTAATTTACCGAAATTCCCATTTTATACCTGTGTTAGTGGTGCAAACTCATTTCCATGGTAACTGAACATCTAGGCAGGAAAATAACTCTTAAGTATAGAGAGATGAGGGAGAGGGTTGGCACCTTTGTTTATTGTTTATTGCATGTGCAAAATCCCCAGATATTTAAAGGACATTTTGAGGAAAATAATCTTAAAAGCACAAACTATAAATGTGTTTGTAAATCTTTATTACCTGCAGAGAGTAGATAAGTAACTGGCAGTAAAAATCTTCCCAAATGAGGCCAGGCACAGTGGCTCATGCCTGTAATTCCAGCTCTTTTGGAAGATCAAGGTGGGAGGATCACTTGAGGCCAGGAGTTCCAAGACCAGCCTGGGCAACATAGGGAGACTCAGTCTCTATAAAAGATAGAAAAATGAGCTGGGCATGGTAGTGTGTGCCTGTAGTCCCAGATACTTGGGAAGCTGAGGTAGGAGGATTGCTTGAGCCCAAGAGTTTGAGGCTGCAGCTGCACTGAGCTAGCAACAAAGCACTACACTGTAGCCTCGGTAACAGAGTGAGACTATGTTTGGTTAAAAAAAAAAACAAAAACCCCAAAAAACTTCCCAAACAGATCCCAGGGAGGGGGAATAATGCTTTGAGAAATGGAATATGATTTTAGCCAATACCCGCAGCATCTTAAAAGATCCCTCTGAGGACAGCCGTCAGCTTCTCCTGATTTGATTGTTTTATGGGCTTATGAGGTTGCAGTGACTGGCAGGTGGCGGGAGCAAGACAAGATGTACATTCGGATCTTTTTTCCGTACCCTTATTAGAAGCAGAGATGCCATTTCCCCATTCTCTTTTTTCCAAGTCACTGTAAAGGCGTTGCCTCGCTCCCAAAGACCAGTCATGTTTTCTGTGTCTCCGTAGGTGACTTACAATAGTTGGGTCTCACGGGGTGACGAATGACAGTGTAACTGGCAAATCTTTTGTCAACAAAGCCATGATGGGCACCTGGAACTGGAGGAAACAGTTTGTTAAGCTAGAACAGCGGTGGGCGAGGAATACTTGAACATTTCACTCTTTAGAGAGGGAAGAATACTTGAGTGAAATCACTCTTTAGAGAGTGATGCCTTCTCAGCTTTGGTGCTAGTAACTGCATCTTAGTCTTTTAGCTGAGTTGGAAAATTTGTCTCAGACACACCCATATCACTTAATTTGGGGCTCAAAGTCAGATTCAGCTCTTAACAAGTTTGGATCTAAATTCTTGACCTTTTTACTGGTCTCTGAATTCCTCCAGTTCATCGACCTTGCAATTCAGAGATCCTGTTAAAACTTACTTGTTGTCATTGGTGTTGAGAATGACACCAGGTCATTGGTGTCGCAGCAGCCAGGCTGCAACAGGAAATCGGATTCATTTTGGCCCATCACACGTGGTAGACATTCAGTGCTAGTTAGATGGTGAGCAAGGTACCTTCCAGATAGTGTAAGCCGTATCGCAGTCCTCTGCAGTCTGTTAGCTGCTGCAGGCTTTTACTACGTGTAGCGTCTGAGTTTTCCCGGGCCTCTGCCATTTAAGTAAGTATTCGTTCTGCACTCATGTGGAACCTGTTGCCATTCAGCAGGAAACACTTTTGCAAATATTACCCAAAGACTGTCTCTTTGCCTCCTTAAAGCCCCCTTTCCACTTTGCTGTTGCAGGTATGAAGGTCACTGTACACACGTGCTTATGATTGTAGGTGGTGGCCGAGTAGTCTGTTGGATAACGGTGTAGGGCTTTGGAATCAGGAGATGCAGATCGAATCCTGGTCTGTCATTTACTTGCTATGTGATTTTGGATAAGTCACAAAACCTCTCAGATGCCCATTTTTTTTCAGGTGTAAAGTGGGGATATCACCTGCCTCACAGGGTTGTTGCAGGGTTATTGTGGGAATGAACTGAGATAAGGCATGTCAGTCAGAGGGCCTTACACAACGGGAGCACTCGGTGGAAGTGGCAGTGGGTTTTCTTTGTGTCTGGAGACTGTCGTTTGTGCACATCTACCCCCCTCCCCGCTAAGCCTGGGAAGTGAGGCGTTACCGGTGCATTTACATCGAGGACTGTAGTTGAGAGGTGATGAATCAGACTTTTGGGATCAAGGGCAGTCCTTTGCTGTCCTTGCTTTCTGGGGGCAGAGAGAATGATGGGCTTCTGCCTGCTGCCTCCCAGACTAAATATTTAGCTTTTGCTGTCTGAAGGGTAGGTTTTTCTTGGACTTGGGTGCTATTCACTGTGATCAAACAAAGGTGCTCTGACGTGCCCATGAAGGTGAAGACTGCAATGTCAGAGCAACCCTTTCCTCTCCTTCTCCCTGCTTGGTAAAGCTGTAGAACTGGAACTGTGAAGGGGTTTTGTCTAAGGGGTTCATTCCTCCAAGCTCATCCCATAGAGCACCATTTGCTTGCTAAGCAAGGTCTCACGGCTCCATTTCTTAGTAGGATCTTGCCTCCTCTTCAAGAGTAATCAGGTGAAGCCTGGGCACAGTGGCTCACACCTGTAATCTCAGCTCTTTTGGAGGCTGAGGCGGGCAGATCACTTGAGGTCAGGAGTTTGAGACCAGACTGGCCAACATGGTGAAACCCTGTCTCTACTAAAAGTGCAAAAATTAGCTGGGCATGGTAGTGTGCACCTGTAATCCCAGCTACTCGGGAGGCTGAGGCAGGAGAATTGCCTGAACCTGGGAGACGGAGCTTGCAGTGAGCCGAGATCGTGCCACTGCACTCCAGCCTGGGCGACAGAGTCAGACTCTGTCTTTAAAAAAAAAAAAAAAAAAAAAAAATCTGGTCTGGCACATGGAAGCCAACATGAGACTGCCACCAACAATTCATGTGGCATAAATTTGTTTGCCCACAGATTATGTTAATATGGAATCAGAGGTCTGATTGTGTAAAGAAAGAGTTTATATCATAAATTATCATATACTCCTATAATGGAATACTCTCTCATAGTAAAAATAGGTGAAAGATGGTTATATCCATATGGTAAAATCTTAGAAACATAATGTTGAATAAGAGAAGCAGGTCATAGAAAACAGTGTGTAGTATGATGTCATATGTAGAAAGATGAAAAATGTGAAGTCAAACAATACATGTTGTATGCGTACCTTCAGAGGCAGTAAAACTGTAAAAAATGGATGGGGCTGGGTGTGGTGGCTCATGCCTGTAATCCCAGCATTTTGGGAGGCCGAGGTGGGTGGGTCACTTGAGGTCAGGAATTCAAGATCAGCCTGGCCAACATGGCGAAACAACTTCTCTACTAAAAATATAAAAATTAGCTGGGCGTGGTGGCATGCACCTGTAATCCCAGCTATTTGGGAGGCTGAGGCAGGAGAATCACTTGAACCCGGGAGGTGGAGGTTGCAGTGAGCTGAATTTGCACCACTGCACTCCAGCCTAAGTGACGGAGTGAGACTCTGCATCAAAAAAAAAAAAAAAAAAAGGAATAATGAACCCTGAGTTCA